CCTGCTGGGCTCCGGCGATCCTTCCTCCTCAGCCTTCCAAGTTGCCGGAATTACAGGCATATGCTACCACGCCCGGCTGATTTTTTGATTTATCGTAGAGATGAGGTCTCATCAAGTTGCCCAGGTGGGTCTCGAACCCGCGGGCTCAGGCAATCCACTCACCTCAGCCTCCCAAAGGCGTGGGATTACAGGCGGAGCCACCGAGCCTGGCTATCGACATTTCTAAGGGCTGTATCCATATACTATAACTTATTTAACCAAACCATTTTTGATGGATACTTGAGTTGTTTCCCACTTTTTGACACTATATACATACTATCATATGTATGTATATATGATATATTGTATATATGATATATGTATATATTTATATATATTATACATATATAAATATATATATATTTTAGTTGGAGTCTCACTCTGTAGCCCAGGCTGGAGTGCAATGGTATGCTCACAACCACTGCAGCCTCAACCTGCTAGACTCAGGTGATCCTTCCGCCTCAGCCTTCCAAGTAGCTGGAACTATAAGTACATGCCACCATGCCCGGGTAATTTTTTATTTTAACTGTAGAGGTGAGGGCTCACCAAGTTGCCCAGGCTGGTCTCGAACCGGTGAGCTCAGGCAGTCCTCTCACCTCAGCCTCCCAAAGTGCTGGGATTATAGGCGTGAGCCACTGCGCCCGGCCAATAAAAAAGTATGTTAAGAATATGTTACAACTTCATAATAAAAAATAAATAAATAATTTTAAAAAAAACTGTATTAACATTGTAACACTCAATATGTGTTAATAACAAAAGATGAATAAAAGTCACATTTGACTTCTGCAAAAATAAAAAAAAATAAAATGTCAGGCCAGGTGTGGTGAGACCTCATCTCTACAATAAATCAAAACATTAGCCGGGCATTGTGGCACATGCCTGTAGTTGCAACTACTTGGAAGCCTGATGTGGAAGGATCGCCTGAGCCCAGCAGGTTGAGGCTGGAGTGGCCGCGAGTATGTCACTGTACTCTAGACTGAGTAACAGAGTGAGACTCTGACTCCAAAAAAAAAAAAAAAGAAAGAAAGAAAATATCCTCTGTATTAATATGGGGCAAATAATTTTTCCCAGGTTCTTTGCTGCTTGACTTTGTTCATAGTATTTTTTTCCTTTTTTTTTTGTCGGAGTCTCACTCTGTTGCCCGGGTTGGAGGGTATTGGCAGACTCACAACTACCACAGCCTCAATCCACTGGACTCAGGCGATCCTTCTGCCTCAACCTTCCAAATACCTGGAACCGCCGGTGCACGCCACTTTGCCCAGTTCATTTTTTAAAATTTATTGTAGAGATGAGGTCTCGCCAAGTTGCCCAGACTAGTCGCGAATCCCTGGGCTCAAGCAATCCTCTCGCCTCTGTCTCCCAAAGTGCTGGGATTACAGGTGTGAGCCATGGCACCCAGTCTGTTCACAGTATTTCTGACATACAAAAATTTTAGAGTCAAATTTATTAATCTATTATTAGGTCTGAATAATTTTTTGCTGCACACAAAACCTTCCATACTGTGAGATTTTTAAAAATTCTGTTTCAGCCAGACGCAGTGGCTCACGCCTATAATCTCAGCACTTTGGGAGGCAACAGCGAGAGGATTGTCTGACTCAGGGGTTTGAGACCAGCCTGAACAACATGGCAAGACCTCATCTCTACAATAGATAAATAAACATTAGTTGGGAGTGGTGGCACACACCTGTAGTTTCAGCTATTTGGAAGGCTGAGGCAGAAGGATCATCTGAGCCCAGCAGGACGAGGTTGCGGTGGCTGTGAGCATACCACTGCACTTCAGTCTGGGTAACAGAGTGAGACTCTGACTAAAAAAAATAAAAACAAAAAAATTAAAAATTTTTTTTTTTTTTGAGTCGGAGTCTCACTCTATCGCCCAGACTGGAGTGCAGTGGCTGGCCCCCGCCCCCCC